TTTTATTCTTTTTCATTTTTTTTTTTTCTTCTCACTCTTTGAACACAAAAAATGACAATGAAATCATTGAAAAGAAAAAAAAATAATATGGAAAAAAAGATGTCTTTTTATATTCAAAATTTATTGGAAATCAAAAAAGCAAAAAAAAAAATTCTTATTATGGGGAAAAAAAATTTGCAAATATTTTTTTGAAACGATATAAAATTTAATTCTTTAATGATAAAATAAAGAAAAAAAAGCGGAATAAAGACAAAAATAATTTCAATCGAAATAATTTTTTGCCTTAGAAAATTTCTTTTCTACCCAATTATCAATCATTAATGAACAAATGTAAATTCATAATTCTCAATTGTCTCGAGAATTTTCCTCAAATAACAGGAATAAGTCGAATGTTTTATACATTTTCTTTTTGTTCATTCTTTAGAATTGCTTATGAAATGCTTAAATCTTTTAACCCTTTTTTTTTCTAAATCTATTAGAAGTTGATCTAAATAATCTCTAATCTTTTTTTTTTTTAGGTTCCAATAGTTATCATAAATGGTAAAAATTGATTTCTATCTTTGAAAAGAAAAAGAAATTATGCACACTTAAATAATTATTTAAATAGAATTCGAATATCGTTTAAAATTTAACATTTTTTACATATGCAAATATATTCTCAAAAAAAAAAAATGGCATTGAAATATTGCTATGAAAATTACTACAATGTTTTCCCGAAAATAAAAATAAATCATTCACTGAAAATAAATTTTAGTGACATTTTTAGGGTAGGGTTTAATATAAACCCTCCCCCGAAAATAAGACCTAGTTCGACCTTGTCACAATTGCACGGAAGAAGCACCACTACCAGCGTTCCCTGCAGCCGCATCAAACCCTTTATGAGGAATTTTTGGGGCCCATCCGCATTGGCCATTTCCTGGCCGCATTGCCGCTCGACATGATTGCAGACACGATTGCGGAAAGTGCCAAGTCTCCAACATTTATCCCTTTGATGTTTCACGACATTTGGTCTTCTTAAGTGGTAAACGATCAAACTATTCTATGGAATACAACGAAGAAATTGTAAAGAATCCCAGGATAAGATTCTTACAAATTTTTTCAAAGAAAAGAAATTGAAGCATCCAATTGGTCCAAAAATAACGAGAAGAATACGATATTCTCAGTGAACACAGGTTGATAGGATAATTTGCTACCGTGCTTCCCCTAAAATAAGACTACCTTTGAAAATAAACTCCAACACACTTTTTTTTTTCGGGGAGGGGGGGGGTAAGAATGGAAGGAGAATAATAGAAGATTCTGCTTTATTTTCGGGGAATACTTCAAGGAAACGCGGTGTGTAAATCTATAAGTTAGCAAATTATTATATAAGTTAATAGATTAATTAAATGAAATTTTGTTAATTTTTAAAAATTTAATTATAATTTGAAGAAAAATATTTTGTTGTATTCCAGCAGCATATTAGTTATAAAGATTTTCCTACTATTTGATGATAATATATAAGTTTATAAGTTGACAAATTTGATGATAATAATAATGATAGTAAATACTATTTGATGATAATAATAATGATAATAAATACTATTTGATGATAATAATGATGATAATAAATACTATTTGATGATAATAAATACTATTTGATGATAATAATAATGATAGTAAATGCTATTTGATGATAATAATGATGATAATAAATACTACTTGATGATAATAATAATAATGATAATAAATACTATTTGATGATAATAATAATGATAGTAAATGCTATTTGATGATAATAATGATGATAATAAATACTATTTGATAATAATAGTGATAATAAATACTATTTGGTGATAATAATAATAATGATAACAAATATTATTTGATGATAATAATGATGATAATAAATACTATTTGATGATAATAATGCAACTTGATATAACAACCGGATACAAATTTTCCAAACCATTTCATGCGATGAATTTATGATTTCTCAAAATTGATAAGTTGATTTACTATGTGTAATACATCCTTTATATGATAATACAAATGTTAATATATCTGGTTATAAATGCGAGATTTCATGCGATAAATTTGATGATCTATTAACTGGTTCAATTAATCCCATTTAATTTATTCATTTCTTGTACAACTAATCATTAAAATTACTCCATCTTAATTAATTCATTTAACAATTGATTTTTTTTTATTTCACTTTAACTGTTAATTGATAACTAAACAACAAAATGGATATGATGATAAAAAATGAAAGAAAAAATGTTATCAATGATATCAACCTTCACAATAAGCAATAGCTTAATTTTATCTAGTTCTAAGATTATTTGGATCAAAGACCAACATGAAGTTTTTAGAAAAAACAGATGAATTAAAAAAAAACAAACAAACAAACAAATTGACAGGAGGATAGCATTAGAAGTATTATTAATGATAATTTTTTATTTTTTTTAAATAGTATAATGTTTGATTTAATTATATAATTTTAATTTAAAAAATGTAAAAATTTACGAAAAATTCTAATTTAATCGTGAAATTTTTTTTTTTTNTTTTTTTGACAAA